ATCAATTTTAGAAAACTTCTTTTTACACCATTTTAAGAATTTTTATTGTATTGAATAGATGTGATGTTCCAGTTACAAAGCCAAGGAACCATGTGGGGGAAATAAAACTCCTGTTAAGGCAAAGTTCAGGCTCAAATGTTATCACTTTACATTTATAAATCAGTTAAATTGGCCTTTAATTATATTTGGCACTTGGGTTTAGCTCTAATCTCCTGCCTCACTGTGACAGCCCAGTGGTGATCAACATAAAATACAGCAGCTACAGCTATAGCACGTGCCTGCTCATTTAAATGGTTCATGTTATCTTAAATAGATCTTTTTAGCACTTGGACTGGGTCTACAGGAAAAAAATGACCAAGAGATGAGAATGGACATTTAATATCCCCAGAGCATTGCATAATTTTAGCTTTGAATGTTCATATTTTAAACTGTCTATTGATAAAAAAAAAGAAAAAAAATCAGTAAATCAAAATATTGAAAATGAATAGTGATTCAAAAAGTGGAACATATTAAATCAACATACAAAAAGTAGCACATTAAGGGTTTATTTTTTTCAATTTAGTACCTCACACCTCAACTAAAAATATTGTTAATGAAAAAATGTGAATATTGGAATGTTTTGTTGCAGTACACAGTAATGCTGAAAAGAAGACATTTACTGACTCCTAAACTCCATTAAAACAAGGGGTTCAGATTGATGAGTCAAGGAAAGTTAAGTGGAAGAAAAAGGTGCAAAGATAACATTTAGCCTTGAGTGGATTAGAAAGTGAAAAGCACAGAATCTGACTCGCCTGAGGTTGTCAGTAATTTCAGAGTCACTGACAATTCCTGGAGATTTTAGTGCATATTGTTTTATCAGTCCAATCAAGATTTTAAAAATAACTTTAAGATATTTCTCAAAAACCATTTGAATAAGACAGAGCCACTTTTCAAAGAATTTTAGTCTACATAAAATTGTTTGTCCTCAAGTAAACAATGTCCAGCTTTTATCTTTGTCTTTCTGAAACGACAGGAGGAAAGTGTCTGGCTTCGGACATGTTTGAGCTGTAAAAAGTAACACCATCTTGACTCCCACTGTGTTTGAAAAGCAAAGAGGAGCTGTGACATCCGACTTGCAAATGCAGCAGAATGCACTCGAGCCTCCTGAGTGAGAGTCCCTATCTGACATGGAGTGGAGAGAACGAGTGTGAGAGCGAATCCTTTCCCTCTCCGGGGAGCAGAATATGCTGACACGAAGAACGAGAGGGGGGAAGAAAAGGACGGAAAACATTCCAACAAATTAAAGCAAGCAATCAAACGGGACGCCGCAGCAATTTCAGTATTTGCATGCTTGAGAGCACCTTGTGCATCTAAATTCTGCTCCCTGCGGAAAGTTGGCAGCCGAAAAGAAAAGATTTCCTGGAGATTTTCTGAGCGACGCGCACTGAGAATGTTAAAAGGTGGAGGCACCGCTGCTCAAATCTCACTGACGGAGCATAAGTTGTTGCAGTTCCAAACTGCCTGCCAGCATGTTATTAAAGGATTTGCTAGCTGTGGAGGTGTCCTTTCAACTTAATCCCTGCATATGAACATTAATTTAGGATTTAAGTATTTATATATTACGACCATGTCTCCATATGATTCCATACATCATCTTCTTTCATTAGAGATTGAAACTCATTAATTAGATTCGCTCAATTTATTCCACTGCAAGTTGGAACTTTAAAAGACCTTAATGAAAGTGACACATTTGGTATTTCACTCATCTGCTAGTGGTTTGTGTTAGTTTTGATAAAAAATCATTAGAGAGGGAAGATTTAAGGATTAATCATTATAAAAACAATTTAGTATGGTGAAGGAATTCAAAAAGATCATGTTGTGAAGCTGGAGTCACTTCAAACTTTGATTTAAAAGGCTGCAGGAACTTCTCAGCCATTTAAATCATCAAAACGTCAGTGTTTTTTTTTTCATTTGCTTTTGTCCCGTCTTTGTCTCTGTGCTTGACTTTCTTGTTGCATTCAGTTTACAAAGTGACGCTCTGTTGCAGTGATGGTCCTGAACACGGGAAATATTACTCACCATCTCACTTCTCACGGGTGATGTGAGAGCTGGGAAAAAGAAAATAAACTGTTCAACGTGATTTATGACTCGCCCTTAATTGAACAAGTTTTCCGTTGCTTATTTGCATGTTAGCCCAGAACGAGTGCGCACCTTCTGGTGTGTGAAGATGCCCTTTTTCCCTGAGGAAGGAGAAACAGGGGAGAGGATGCAGAAGTGATTTCCCTGATGCTGCGCAGTAGCACAGTTATTATCACGGGTTCCTCGTAGCAAGAAGGTCCTTGGTCCTCAGAGTGCTAGCTCAGGCCTTTCAGGTGGGTTCTCTCACCTGTGCTGCTCTCAGTCCAAAACATGACCGCTCCAAATCCCCATTTGTGTCTTTAAAGTTATTGGTCCTATTTGTGGCGTTCTATGTTGTATTTCAGCCTTTCAGCCAATTGATGAGTTCTTACTTCTGGTGGAAACTCAGAAATACATAGAAAAATTCACTGCCTTTTGTTTTCCAAAATAAATCTCTTTGAGTTTGCCGATAAACCTGTGGAACTACGAATATTTTTTTGACCATTTTGAATCTTTTATATGCGCCACTAACTTAAAAAAAACACAGAAAAGACTCTTCAAGCACCACTTAACAATGTTTATAATGTTTTATTTAACTTTACTGATGTATTGTGGTAAAACATTTGTATTGCAGTCAGATATTTTTGTTGCATGAGAAAACTAAAAAAAGTGGATTTATTTTTAATGTACGTCATTTGGCCATCCATAAAATGTCTGTGTGTTTTTTAAGATTGGACTTACAGGACTTAAACTTTTTACATATCCCTTTTTATATTTCTCTGGTAATAAAATCACATGCCTCTAGATAAACTAACCTTTAGAAATTGGAATAAGACAACAGACTACAGTATTTGACATGCAAAAACCTTCATGTAGTAATAAACTTAAAGGTAACGTCACTAAGGTCGCTATCTGTTTACTTGAACAGAGAGCTCACAAAATAAAAGACATGGCTGCCAGATGCCACTCAACACTAAACCTCTATTTTACATAAACCCAGTAGATCCGTCTCATCAGTGTAAAGTGGGTCACAGAACAAAACACTCACAGAGGCAAACTAGCTGATTAAAACCTGTATGGTTATTACGATCAGAGATGGAGCATGGCTTCTCTTCATGGAGACAATAGGATTTTTCTCATTTCAAAGGTGTCACCTCTGGCGGTGAAGCTGTTATGGGAAGGACTATAACTATATTTACTCCATTTGTCTTTTCTTGCAGATGCAAAGAAGCAAAAGAAGGAAGGGAAGAAGCGAGAGCGCACCCCAATGGACTGAGATTTGTTTTTATTTCATGCCAGCAAAATGGAAGAAGACTGTGGGACGACGTCCACTGCCCCATTCCAACCTGCTTCCTGTTTATCTGTACTGTAGGCTGACTTTAGGACACTCTGTAGTTTTGATGAAACCAGTAAAAACATGAATTTTAGAGCCATATTGTACTTTTTTTTTCTTTTCTAGCACCCAATAAGAATCATCTTGTACATTGCTGTAGTAGACATAATACAATGAGCTAGGGACGGATAATGAGATGATTTGTTTACTAGAGCTCACACCTAATTATGTTATCTCTCGGATTACTTTCTGAAGTACAAATTGCCCACAATTTGTTTTACTGTTCCATACCCCAACTCTAATTTGAAAAAAAAAAAAAAAAAAAAAAACTTTGGTCTGTGCACTAATGAGGCAGTTTGTTAAAGAAAGTCCTCAAACATTTTCACCTAATTAATTTGACTTGCAAAAAAATAAATCTGCTTTTCACTGGTTAGCAATCCCAATTTAATTTTTTAGTCTGTGGGAAATTTTCATCTGTAATTTAGAACTTTGCCATGACCATACAAAATGTCTTTTTCCTCCATTGTACCTTAATTCACATGTATTATTAACTCTCTCCTCGATATATTGTTGACTGCTTGAGGTTATCCCTTCCTTTGCTTCCTGGTACATTTCCGATACTAAAAAAAAGTGAATAAAATGTAGAGAAAAAAAAAATACCAAAAGCATTTTAAACTTCCTGATGTCACCTCTGTCAACATGATGCAAATAAAAAATAAAGATCTCAAAACAAGCATATTTTACCCAGATTTTATTTAAACCCAAAATCATATCATGTCAGATGAGATCAGTAAAAATTTGTGATAAATAACGCTTCATTTCGTCCCCGCTATAAGGTGTGGTAGTGGCAGCATCACGGAGAAGACGGCTGGTGTAGCATACATGCAACACTGGAGGAAAAAAAAACCTGTTGGAGGCTGAAGGTCTTCAGATGGAGGTTCAACGTTCCAGCAGCACGACGAGCCAGAACATGAGGATAGAGCTAAAATGAAATATGATGATGTGTCAGAACGACCAAGTCAAATCCAACAGAGAACATGTGGGAAGATTTATGTACATTGTTAGCTCAGTCCTGAATGTATAATTGATGCTTATATTTAAAAAAAAAAATTGAGAAGCACCAACGACATTGATCTTTATAAATTAACTTTCAAATTAGAATCTCATAAGGAATGCGTGCATGGTTAATTTTAACTTATCTGAAGAGCTTGTTATACCTTGTAATATTTGGTCAGATAAGACATGCTTGTGAAATGCAATGTGTGTACAGGTTAACTTAAATTCCCACTGTGAAGCACGATGGTGGCAACGTCATGCTGTGGAAATCAGCTCAGCGCTGATGTCAGATTGACTGAAAATCAGCCTATCACAGGCTGCAGGCCTTTTTATTCATTTCCTTTTATTATTAAACTTTTTTTTATTGAATGCAAATTGCATTAAATACAAATAACATCCCTTCTTCTAGTGAGCTTTAAAATTAAAAAAATAAACATACAAGCATTACATGTTCACAGTCTGGCTGTTTGTAAGTCAAACAGCACTTAAAAAACAACTGTCTTGAGAACATAAATATTTTCATGTCAATTTTATTTGAAGAGGTTATTATACAATGTAACCACTTAATGCAGTCCATCTTACAGTTTCATAGGTGGCGAGTGATTAAAAACACTCCAGATTCATTGTTCAGAACAAATAATCAAGAATGCATTAAAACAGAAATCAATACCAGTGTTACTGTACAGGAAGTATTAATAGCAGGGGGGGGGGGGACATTCAGATAGTATCTATACCACATGTATGTACATATAAAATGTACCGCATCAGAGTTACATATAATATACTGTCTTATAGATATATATATATACAAGGCAAACAACAAACTGCTGAATTATTTTTTCCTACTGCAATAGAAGCCACAAGCCACAGTGATTGAATACACAATGAACATCCAAATATGTAAAAAAATGGAAAATTAACACTTGAATGTGTGCTGAACATCTGCAGCAGGCTATGGATTTATTTGATGAGTTTTATTTGAAACGCTGGTGGGTTCTGTGATCCCCTCCCCCTTGAATTTCAGACCAGGGCACACAACCACTTATGGAAAAAAAAAAAAGGGTGTGAGATTGCAAAAAGTTATACAGTGTGTCCATTGAGTGAACTGGCTTCTTCCCAGGGTGAGGGTGAAGACTCATAAATTTACAGGTGAAAATCAAAATGAAAGCCATCGCCTCTGGGCTTTTGAGCCACACTGAAACTAGTTTTAGCTTCTGTCATCCTCCAGGGTTTTCTCTCGCTCTCACACTTCTTTTCTGACTGCAGAAATCATTCTTCAAATCCCCTGGACTCCTGCGCTCACATGTGGAAAAGTTACGGTACAGTTCTCATATTGCACAGCAAGAATGTTTTTTTTTGTTTGTTTTTTTTTGTCTTTGTAAATCATGAAACTTTTCATATCATTCATATTTCACAATCTTCATAAATTCTAAATAACATTTTCTCAAAAGAAAAAAAAAAGAATAAAAGCAACAAACAGGCTGTACACAGATATAATCTCAATACAACAATTCCACTCTGTACAATGATAAAAGTCGCAGATTTATTGGTAGAAAATGTACAATATTGTGCAACTGCATGTAGCACAGAGTCTTTGGAAGCTTTTTTACTACTGCGACATTATTTTACAGAGGAAGAGAATGAGGACAAATTGGAGATCTTTCTTGATTTGCGTCTTATTTTATCCAATCTGATGTTTTCTTACAGAGGGTACAGTTTATGAAAAAATGAGCAAGACTAAAGAAGTCCAAAAATATTTTACAGCAAAAAATTTTCACACCCAGCCACAAACATCTCAGTGATCTGTAATGATGACACACACACTCACACACACGCAGTTGTGAACACGACCAAACCGTCCCAGTATATTAGATATTTTTCACCCTCATGACTGTTTATAGTTTTAGTGATGATACATTTAAAGCCATTGCGATTATTATTCTAGTTCAGTTTCATCTTTTCATTTCCTCAGCATTGACTTAAAGTGACACTAAAGAATAGGAGCTCAGAGCTGGAACAGGGAAAAAAAAACTCTTTAGGTTATATTCAGGAAGACTGGATTATATTTTTTCTAAATGCTCCGCAAACGTCTCAGCAAACTCACACTGAAAATGCCACAACAATTGGAAGATAAAAGGAGCAATTTATTCCTGTCACTCTTGATAAGGCACTAAAAATTGCTCTGTACAATCCGGCGATATACCTTTGTTAAACGTAAAAAAAAGAATAAATCTCCAAATTTGGAGAAAGTGCTTCTGTATCCAAGACTGTTGAGGATATTCTCAGCAACACCCACTTCTTCTAGAACAAAAGCCAGAGAAAGTTGTCTCTGATTAACGCTAGTGTCACAGGTTCTCCGTAAAAGGGGTGCAGTAGCCCTTTGACATAAGCCGTACGAACAGGAGCCCAGCTAGCTCTCACGGCACATTATGATGTGATGACTACACACACTATATGTTTATCTCAGTACTATTTGACAAACAAATATATGGACATTTTCATGGAATCATAAAATGCGAAGCTTTGTGACCATAAAACCACAAAAAAGGAAATTCTGTTTGCAGGAGCCTCAGTAAAAAGAGCATGAGGGACAGTAAACAACTGTGTAACATACACCAGATGGAAGAATTTCCCTGGAACATTAAAATTCTTGGCTGACCCCTCCAAAAGCAGAGCTAAGGCTTCTCTAAACATGGTCAACTTGCCTTCAGAGTTGGAAAAAGTTTCTGACAGACGGCACTTCTCTACACATTTCCTACTCATCTGTGCCTTGCAAAAGTATTCACATCCCACTTTCACAATTTGTCATTTCATAACTCCAGCCTTCACTTTTCTTTGTTTTACTTCACTGGGATTTTATGTGGTAGAGCAGCACAATGTAGTTCATAACTGAATTAAAAGAAAACATGCAAAGGGTTTTGCTTTTTTTAACTCAATAAAATTTCTGAAATTGTAAGCAACACATCTATTTTTCAACTATCTCGGAACAACAATCTAACCCAATTAATTCAGAAGTCACCTGCTTGTGTGTGAATTGTTGCAGCCAATCTGCACCAAGGAAAATAACTGCCTCTTCTGGATTGGCTGCTTTGCAAATGTCAGTTGCGCCTAAATTTGGCTTTTGTCTTGATCGTTTTGGAAATGTTCTATGAAAAGATCCACAGTTAATTTAGAATTCCACAGACAAATCTGCAAATTGGTGAATTTGCAAATTGAACTCTGATTCAAGGGTCCACAACACAGCAAGAATGTTTTTTTTTGTTTGTTTGTTTGTTTTATTTTGTCCAAAACCTGTTTGGACATTTGCCTTCTATAAAAAGCAAAACCCCAAACAAACCGCCATGTTTTCCAATTCAGCTAAGCACCACATTGTGTATGTTGGCCCCCAAACAGTAATTAAATATATTCGTTCGTACTTACAGTACAACAAAATGTTTTATACAGTTTGCATGCATGGCAGCCAAACCCCTGCTCTCATGTTTTGCCATCAGAGCACATCTTTCAAAGTCAGTTCGACACGAGACCTCTTTGTTTTCACCTTCACCACAAAGTGGACAAAATAGTTTACAAGTGTGTCGATCCCCGCTGTGAGCATTGCTGTTTTGCTGATGCAACTTGCCCCCCTTACACCGCCGCAGGAAGTGATAAAATGCCATCACTTTTCATCACGCGCCCCTCAGACCGAAACCCTCGGACCACCACTTACTCTCCTGCTGGTATCTGTCAAGCAACAGCAAGGCTGAGATTAATCGAATGTTTTCGGAAAGCTTTTTAGTCTCTATTTGGATGTGTGACAGATGACAGACAGAGCTCCACTCCTCCATGTGAAGGATGTAAATTCACAAGGGAACTTATTTAACATCTTCCATCCATTTATTTGAATAACCAATAATCATGGTTTTGAAACTAATGATTCACTTTCTCAGTCAGTAATTAATAGTCTAGCCCCGTTGCTCCATTCTATGTTTTCCAAGGAGGAAGTAACTCAGTTATACTCAGTTAAAATCAAGCCATCTTCTTCCCAATATCAGTAAGATTGGCAACATACTTGTGTGTAATTTGTCAAGATGGATGTTTTTGAAACTGTGGAGGGGAACAGAAATATAAAATCTGAACAAAAAAGAAAAAATAATTTCCCTTTCATTCATCTTGATGCATAAATCTAAACTAATCCTCATTCTCTTACATGACTTTATGTATCATTTCTCACATTTTGTCAGATTACAACCACAAATTTCTATTTATTTATTTGAACAAATGTACATGGTTGTGAATTTTTGTCTAATAAATAATGCAATTATTCTGATACACCGGAATAAAATTAGTTTTAGAGTTCACTCAATTGGTAGAAAAAAAAATGTATACAGTCAAAAGCCCAGTGGTTTTTCACGAGGAGCTGCAGCAGCGAGGAAATCGATTTACAGCACAACTTTACCTACACTTCACTCATCTGGCCTGTTATAAGAACATCATAACAAGTGTCTATTTACAGTGTGCCATATGTCATGCAGGGGACACAACAAATATGGAGGAAGGTGCTCCAGTTAGATAAGGCCAAGCAGAGAAGTTTAAGATAGTTAGAGTTGACAGGAAGGTGAACGGAGCTAAATACAGAGCAAACCTATTCCAACCAACTAGCCGCTGAATCAGAGATTCTCCTTTCAGCAGCACAACAACCCTAAATGTGGGTTGGATCAAAGCATGTTCATGTGTTTGAGTGGTCGAGTCAAGACCAGAGCAAAATCTAACTGAGAATCTGAAGCAAGACTTGGAAATCAAAGTTCTCCATCTTGTTCTCCATTCAGTCTGATTATGTTGTTTTATTTTGTTCTATTTTTCATAGAACAATGAGTAACAATTTCTCTTGATGTTCAAAACATGCATTCTCCTCTTAAGCAACAGTTTGCGGTTGTAATGTGACAGAAGTACCAAAAACTAAATGGTAATATTTATCATACTATGCAATATGCTGGAGTTGACTTGAAAAGACAAATGGACTGATCCTCAATGAAAAGCTCAGACTAAACACTTACTCTAGAAATAGTACTTATAGCGTTATCTAGCTGGGAGAGGGACTTCAGAGCCAAAGCACTAACAACTAACAGGATGCTCAACACAATTGTACATGTAATATTTATGTTACACTCGTGACCTTATGAAAATTAGAGACCATACAAAGATAATGACTGAGAAGAACCATCCTATAAGTGGGGCACCGGATTGTAGCATGCAACCACAAGCTGAGCGTGTAATGGGCAGCCTTTAATCTAAAATGTAGGTGTTCCACATCGGCCCGTAATCTGATCAGCCTCATGGTGAGTTTTCATTACAGGATCTGTCCCAGATCTCTCTTTAAAGCCGACAGCCTCAAGGAGCTCTCCGGTGCAGGCGTAAATCTCAGCAAAGCCCCCCTACCAGCCACTGTGGCAACCTCCTGATGGCAAATGCTGCTGCATATTCATCACTCCAACGAGCAAGCCGCATTACTGTAACTGAGAATGGTCTAATAGGCTGAAATGATGGATGACATGCATGAAAACACGGAACATGCCTCTTGGTAAATTGATATTTTCTCATTTCTTCTGGCGCTAAAGTAAGCACAGCAACTTATCACTTTTAATTTAACTACGATGACTCGGAATCAATTACGAGATCAAATGGAGAGGAGTCACAACAAGCGCATGGAGACATAAAAATAGCCCTTTTTGAAATCACGAGGCTCAGACCTGTGATCAGAAGTAAACTCCACACTTGGAGCACGCAAGCATACAGGTTTTCAGGTTTACCCACACGCACCCATAAGTTCACGAATTTCATCCTTGCAATAGATGCTGCGACGTCCATCAATGAATCAGAAAGATCAAATAAAGTTATCCACTCCTCTGCACGCTCACACACATCACACACCACAAAATGCCCTCCCACAGACCCTAATGCAGGACAGCTCTGAGCTCCTACCTCCTGTTTGACTCACTGAGTTCTTAGCAACCTGACAGCAAACATAAATATCTTAATAGCTGCCATAAAAATCAACACCTGACATCCTGTCAGCAGTAAAAGCTAAAGTGACGAGGACTGCGGCAAATGAAAAAGTGTGACTGAACGATTTCATGCCATATATAAATATTATTTTTTTCCTCTTCAGTTGTCTGGTCAATATCTCTTAATTTATTCACTTTGACTTTCACTTTAATGGTACATGACAAGTTGCATTATCTAGATTCTTTGCAGGAAATATGATGAGGCGGCAACATAATCAAAACCTCTTACTATAATCCTCACTATACTTCATTTGATAGGTCCAAATTGTGAGATTTGGTTGAGTCATGCAAATAAGGACTTCACATGTTTTTATCCACAGTTCACACATTTTCAGAAGGATACAGAAATTCAGGACTTCATTTTACAAATGGCATATTTTACAGGTGTGCATGCTGTGCCCATTTAGAGATGACATCCCAGATAACCTTTAGGTTAGATTGGCCATTTTCAGTCACTTAGCTCCAGCAGTGTTGCATCTTTTAGATGTTTTCCTACTTCAACTTGTGATTGAACCAATTGGGTCATTACTGGGCCAATACAGAACTTGATATCATGCTAAGAAGGTCATCTAGCCATGTGATTTTGCTGCATTACAGCATCTGTAAGATGGTGGGCTCCTTGCAACAGGGATGGAATTTGAACAGGGGTCAAATAAAAATATTTTCAAATTTCAGTCACTGGTTAATTTCCTGCTGCATCGCTAATGTTGATTTCTTGAACCATCGTCAGAAAGTTGTTTTAAAACCTTAAAATTTGATGCTTTTGTACCACCCACAATTTTCAAGATGTCTCTGTAACCTGGCAAAATGCTTAGTGTCATTTTAATAAAAGAAATTAGATTAAAGTTTGGAGACTTAGTAGAAACTTTGTATAATAATCTTCCAAAAACTCCACATATGTGAATGATATTGATTAAATGTTGAAGTGAAATAACTTCTTTTCAACTATTCTGAAATTGCAAAAGCTATTTGAAGCAATATCTTCAGTTTTGTGTGCAAATTTGACAAGTAAAACTTTATTGCATTAATATTTTCTGAAGATTTGTCTATTGATTCTTACTGAGGCTTTTTGTTAAATTGAATGTCTACCAATCAGGATGAGAACCTGTCAGTGAAAACCTAAACGAAACACTCAGTTTTCTATATATTGCTGGTAGGAAGAGCTGATCACACATCGAAAGAATGCAAGCGAAAAAGCACAAGTGGGTGTGAACACAGACATTAAGCTAGCACACACCCACATGTGTACACACAAATAGAATATTTATATACAGATATCTACAAATATCTTTACTGAATTTCAAACATGAAAGGTTTGAAAATTCAGTCAGCCCTATTTTCCCATTTTGAAGCGTTTTCCATACAGAACAGGTCGTCTTCTGCTTTTTAACCGGCTTTTTTCTCAATCAGCTCAGCATCCTTCTCTGTTACACTCCTTATGTTAGCTGATCTTTTTTTCAAGGTTTCAAATCTGAATATGTTTTCACAACCCTCGTTTTATACATTGCTCCTGCACAATACAAGTGACAGCAACTGAATTCAGCTGAATAAGAGTAAAGTGCTACAACAGCTCATTGAGGGAAATTGGAAAACGAATGATGAAATGGTAGAAAGTGATTTTGAAATGTTCTTGTCTCATTTTTCACATAAACATGTATGCATGGATAACACACAACACCCTTACGTACAACATTTACACACCGCAGTGCTTCCTCCAGTGGGGGCTTATATTTATCTGGCTGATCTAATGTTTCTGTATTGGCAGAGGAGGAGATGTTTGAAGGTCTTTTTGAATGTGACATTACACAGAGCATAGCAGGCTGGATTGATGGTGCTGTTGATGTAGCACAGCCAGTAACCAATAGTCCAAACAGTGTTGGGAATGCAACTGGAACAAAAAGTATTAATGAGCACCATCACGTTATACGGGGTCCAGGTAGCTACAAAAGCCACCAGAATGGCCATTATCGTGCGGGTGACTTTTTTCTCCCGCGACGGGGCTCCTTTCTTCTTCTTGTTTGGTGGTTGCTTCGTCATCTTCACGATCTTCCTCGCCACGTGGTTCTGACGTTCTGTGCTTGGCACAATCTCGACTGTGGCATTTGATGGTGTGTAGTAGTCACCCTTTGGGGACTTGGTCTTGATCTTGATGCAGGTCAGTTTGGAGCCCCCAGCCTTGGCTCGTTGCCGTGGAAGCTGCTGCGTAGCCTCAGCACTGGAGTTTGCTGCAGAGGCGACTTGTTCTTCATCCTTCTGATTGGAAGCTGCCACACTGCCGGATGTGGAGTCATTTGAGCTTTCCTTCTCTTCTGCAGGAGCACAGTTCTCCTTTGCAACACTGTCACCTTCTGTTTCTACGTCGGCAGTAGATGATGAAGGGCCTTTTCCATTCTGCAGCTTTCCATCATGCTGGTTGGCTCCATCATCTGCACTCTGGTTCTGGGAATGCGCTCCGTCTTCCCCAGGAACATTGTTATTGTTGGGTTTGGGAGTGCTCTCTCTCCTCTGGCCCGGTATCAAAGGTTCTGGGTTTGATCCTGATGGCTTGCGGTTGTCCTTCTTCACTCGACTTTTGCTTGCTCGCGAAATTTGCCAGTACAGCTGAATCATGATAATGACAGGCAGGTAAAAGGCAGCAATGGCAGTTCCAAAAGTAACAGCGGCATTGGAAAAGAACTGAATGTAGCACTCTTTCTCAGGCACAGTCCGCCCACCAACAATGAACTGCCAGAAGAGGATAGCAGGTGCCCAAAGGATGAAAGAAAGGACCCAGGCAGCAGCAATCATCATTCCTGCCATTTTGGTGGTTCTCTTTACAGGGTAGCTCAGGGGCTTGGTGACACAGAAGTATCTGTCAAAGCTTATTATGAGGAGATTCATGACAGACGCATTACTGACAACATAGTCCAAAGCCAACCACAAGTCGCACACGACTGGCCCCAGGGGCCAGTAGCCTATTACTATATATACTGTGTACAAGTTCATAGAGCACAGTCCAATAATTAGGTCAGCACATGCAAGGCTAAATAAAAAATAGTTGTTGACAGTTTGTAGGTTCCTGTTCACTTTGATGGAAAGCATGACCAGGATATTGCCGATAATGGTGACCAAACTCAGGGAACCAGCCACCAGCACGATGAACACTACCTCCACGGTCTTGTAAGGACTGTCTCTCTCTTCCACGACTTCTGTCTCATTGCCTTCAGAGGCATTCCAGGATGTAAAATTAAAGACATCCATGGCATTTGGTTTCTTTGTTGCCACGTACAACTCGGTTGGAACCTGAAAGAGAGCAAAAGACACAAGAGAAAAACAACAATATGAGCTTTTCTCACTGGGAAGTGTGAATCTATTCATAATGACGTTTGACAGGAAATGGTGCAAGTAAAATCCTCAAACAGAAGAGGACAACAAAACAAAAAACTAGTGTTCTATTAATCCACTTGCATCAGCATTGTACCACGTTCTGCATTGGGCTTTTAGTCATTTGATCCATCAAATCACAATAATAAATTCAGCTTTTAAATTAGTAACAACGATGATGATTAGAGGCACCTTTATATGTCACATTTTTATAATCACTGCAATCAACATCTCACCATTAGGCAGCTGTGTCATTTAAAACAAAAACAAATTAAAGGAAACTAAAAGGTTATCATTTAAACAGATATGAACGGATGTTATAAAAAGTCACGTAAAACAATTTAAAACATCCGGTCATATTTAAATTAATGGTCTTGACATTTTACATCACATCTGAACACAAGATGTATTTCACCCTTGGAGAAAATCAAATTTTTCATTTATTGGACAATTGGATAAATTAGGAAAATTGGTTCCAATGAGGCTTGTTTGTGAGATATTAGATTACAACATTGGAAGCCAATTGATCTATAAAAGGCGAGTGATCACTGCAGGTTCACTTGAAACTCAACTGATAGTCTGTGTAATAAACTGCTGTGTTTTTTTGTCACTGACTTCTTTGATGTAAGCAGTGATGCTTTTGATGTGGTTTTCCCTGACTATGGTCAAAACGCTGAGCTCTTTAGTTGTTGTGAAGACTTATCACACTCCAACTTGCCATAAATATCATCTTGTTGAAAGAATAGTTGTTTTTATTTCACTCCTTTCACTCCTAGATAAGTTTTATTCTGTTAAAAAAGCCATTCAACATCAGTTCAAAGTGAAAATAAATTCCTGTACGGTCATGTTACGACGTGGATTTATTTCTCAAATACAACAATGTAAGTTACTTGCAGAGGTCCAGACCAGATTTTAGTTTGTGTTTCACATCTAAAGACCAAATATTTGTACTTGAAACTTAAAAAAAAAAAAAAAAAAAAAAAAAAAAAATATATATATATATATATATATATATATATATATATATATATATATATATATATATATATATATATATATATATATATATATATATATATAATTTTTTGATAAAAATGTAATCCTGTCTGTTTTGATTATGTCTTATCTTATACCTTTCTGGTAATAATCTGTCACATGCCCTTTTAAATATAAAAACAGATGTGATTCAACAGAATATACATATAATCCTATTTAATAAACTACAATATGTCTTCCAATGAAGCTTGTTTATCAACTTAAAGGTACCTTTAACCAGGCATTAAGCCGACTTTTCACTATACCCAAATTACTGTATCATTTTAATTGGTTTTATGTAATATTCTAATCTTGAATGTTGTGTTTTCATTAGAAGTAAACAAAAGATCCTTGTAATTAACTGAAAAAATGGCCTGAAAACATCAGTCTGTGTGTAAACAAGCTATATAACATGTTTCTCTTAGTAAATTGAATGATTACTCTAAATTAACTATCTAATAACATTCTAATTTGTTTATTATGATGGTATTGCAGTAACATCTGCATAAAAAAGGAATGAAGAGAAAAATAATTTGCATACAAGATTAAAAAAGAACCAATCTGTGGGAAACTGCAGGTCGTGTCTCTGAAAAGACAGTTTTCAAAGCAGAGCATCACATGACAGGGTCATTTGCATATTTCTCCAAGATTATCTTTATTTTAAATTATTTGATTTAAAAGTAATGGCACTTCCAGAGTGATATTAGCTTTCCAGTGAACGTTTCATGAAATCAAAGTAAATGAAGGATTGTTCTGTGGCTTGGTTTTGCCATTTTGACATAAAGTCTTAAACCAAAGAGCCTAGTTGCTGAGTAACCGGTGAGCATTCACTTATCTGCTGAGCCAGAAATCCCTTATCATTGCATTAGCCATGGAGCTAAACTGGCCTAATCCCCATAAAAAGCATAAATCCACTGATTAACATACAAAAACATGAACAATACCAATGAGACACACTTGTGGCTCACTTGGAGCGCATGGATTAGAGAAGTGAAGTGGATCATTTTGTCCCTTAGCAGCTCTTTGTCCAAGTCTGACTTCCATAAGCTTTGTCCCACACCTGAAATCTCTGCCATAAGTCAGAGAAAGCTTTAACATGCCAATCCTATTTAAGCTAACTGTAGACAGCTGTAAATGTGCAAACAGTATGGAGAATTTTTACTCTATTTTTTATTGAAGTAACAGGAAAATACAAGCAGTCGACATGGGAAGTCAGTGCTTTGATTTTTCCATAGCCGTCAAGCCTCGTTTTGCCTTTGATTCTGCAAGTTGCAAAGCCTTTTCACTGGATCTAAACAAAATCATCCTCACTTTAAATTTGGCACTGAAACCTGCTGAGCTTGAGTGCAATTGTAATCACCTGCAGAGAGGAGCAGCAGAAGCGTTCTTAGTGTAGCTATCAATCATGAAGCTTACCTGAAAGTTTTAGAACAACTGCAGTCGGTGCCTTTGCATCTGGCAGGGCACTATCAGAATGAGAGGCATCACCATTAATATTCACCTTTCACTGAATAATACAGAATTCAGTAGAGTTCATTAAATACAAACAGTTAACCGTCCATTCTACAAACCTTTCACTCCCCAAAAAAAATCATTTAATTGAATTTAAGGCCCTCCATACAGTAATCCTAAATTCAGCCTTTTTTGTGTTGTTGTTTTGAGTAAAACTTGTGACAGTCAGTCTCTGGCATGGGAGGATGTGAATAAATGAGCTTGAATATTGTTCTGTGTTCAGTGTTGGGTATTCCTGGAGCAGGCTCACTAGAGCTGAAAATTGCCTGTGCCCTCAGGGAAACGGAGAAGGCCAACTTCACCATTTTTCACGACTTCTGTCCTGACTCTGTCTATTGTAATGGATTCCAGGTTGGTCGTATGGACCAGAACATCCAACAAGCTCACTTTTTTTTAAATCATATATCAGCAGTTGAGTCAAAAAGCTAGCCGTTTCCAGTGACGTTGCTTTAAGCATTTATAGGTGTTACATTTTCACTCGTGGGATCTGTGTTTGTTCACTTTGCCGTATGCACTTCACTGCCTTTCATATCCTATCTGTCATTGTTGAACAGGTAACACCCAAAGCACCTGCCAGTGCTTTTGATGATTACATGCATTTTCCCTGTTGGCAGGCTCCACAGGAATGTGCAGGCTTAGGACCCTCATTTAGCCTGTGCTTGTGTTGCAAAACAAATCATTGCTGCTGCACAGGATCTCTGTAGGGGAACCTCTGAATGATTTTTACATCGCTTGAATGGTGTTAATTATTACTAACACAACATTGGCTCAAGACTTATAGTAAAACCAAAAGTGAAGAGAGTGTCTTGAAAAAATATTTCTGTTTTTAAAGATTTAATTTGTTTGGTAAAGCAGAATGGTGCATTGTTTCAAAGTTAAAATTCATATATAATACATATAATACACAAATGTGCTATAACTTTATAGCACATTTAACCCAGTCTTGGGTGATGATTATTATATAATAATGATAATAATAATAATAATAATAATAATAATAATAATAATAATAATAATAATAATAATAATAATAATAATAATAATAATGGCTTGTAGACAATTGATGCAACTATTTTTTGGCACAATAACCTAAAACATTTTCTGGGTTCACTATAAGTTTACATTCCCGCTTGCAGGATATTGTTTCATTAATTTTAAAATGCTTATAAGCTACTTTGTCATCCAGACAGGGAAATCCTAAAGGAGCGGCGCGGAGGCATTCTCGTTTGTGCAAATATTCTGAAAAAGAAATAAAAAATATGACAGGAAATTAAAACTGTCCTGATAACCATCAAAGCAGAGAGAGATTCTTATGTATCCAACCAATAATTCGAGTCTTGAGGTGGAGAGTAATTATGAATTTGCATTCATTTCCTGGAGCTCTCTCTTCTGTGAGGTGTGGATTATTGTTACCGTTAAATGCGCCCAGTTATGAGTTAGAGTTTCTGCAACCGGAGCCTTGAACTTCTTAATTTCTTTTCTTTTTCTTTCTATTTTGTATGCACTTATATTAGTGAAAGCACAACGTTTTAAGCTCACCCTTACTAAAAGAAGCTGAAGATGAAACGGGTCCTAAAGACTGTATATCTGAGAAAAATCCTTTATTTAAACCATTGTCAGAGAAAAACACAAATAATGTGACTCACTATCGATGTGAGCTCTCAGAAATGAATGTCACAGTGGACTTTTATCAAAAGTTCGGATGGCAACCTTCTGCCTGACATGACATAATTAATGGTAAAACCTCTCTTGCGCAGGTGTGACAAATCCTTGAAAAAGCCTGAGTTCTTTTTCACGCTCGTGTCAAGTGGGTATGAGGTAAGAGACGATAATGGAGAGTTAACAAGCAGGAAATGACATTCAAGCAGGTGGAAAAAAAAACAAGCTTTAATCTGCAGAGCCAAAGAGTCGGATTCCCTTGAGAGCCTGTAGGTGGCCATGTGTCTCTGTGCCCCAAACAATGACACTGTCAAAAACACACTTCTTTCAGAATAAAATTAAATTGACAGAACAAATGAATGCAGATCATCTTTTCACCACTACATATTTCCATTTCAGTAAACACAGCAAGTCCCAAATAATTGGAAAGACCCCATGAGTTACCACATGTGCATGTGAAAGTTTATCTGGTGAACACAAGACAGTTTCTTTATTTATTTTTCTTTCATTTAGGAGATCCACACTTTTTCCAGTGACTGTGCATGCTTATTTAAAGTCAATATCATTTTAAAGTCCCTGTTCTAAACCTTCAGAGAATGTTGATCATCTTCTCCGTTAATTTTGGGGTTTTGTAATAGTAAACTCTACACATCTTAAGCGTTGCATTCAACTGCTGCTGTTCCAGAAAGCAGTAAAATCGAACAAACTGTTGTATAAACATGGCTGAAGATATGTTCCAGCTATCTGTGGAGAAGAGATTAAAATAGCCATGTGAGCCAACTTATTTTCGAACAGATCCAGCTCAACGAAAAGATCATATATTGTCGTAACTGCAGCTGACAGTTCAGAAACCGCCCTGTCTGGAAAATATCACAGGCCTTCTGGGATGCAAAAATTAAAGAAAAAAAAAAAAGGAAAACTGGAGTTCAGCCAGTAATGAATGTACAATGTCCTCAAGCAAGCTGGGATGAGGTAAAGGAGGGACGAGTCAATTTTCCCTTGACAAGGAAGAGAGAACCGGCAGCTTCTATATGACTTGACTAACGCCTTCATGCTGCCTCCTCAAAACCCACTTTTCCCTCTCGCCTCACATTAAACACTTTATTTCATACACATAAAAAAAACATTTTCTGATCCTGTTCATATTCATTGGCTTTTCTTAGCAGATTTTAATTTTTCTAACTGAACTGTTTCTCAAACTAAAGCTAAGTGGTATGACCTTATAACCTTGTGATTAGTATGAATTTTTCATATAAATTTTTGTAAGTATATCATGTATTTTCAACATTATGCATGTCCCCTGCTTATTTTTTATCTTTTTAGCTTTGAGGAATTTATCCCTTGTCTCTCCAAGCTGATACATGACAAATGTTTTTTTTCTTACTTGGCACACAAGGACATTTGCTGCAACCTTGAAGCATGTTCATGATCAGGCAAACACATTGAGCAACATCTGCTTGTCAGAGTAACGTCTCTGGAGAAATTCTTCGGAACAACGGCAGTTTGCAACAGCCTGCATATTTGTGTGAGCCTGAAGGCATTTAAATGATCAGATCAGGATATAAAAACAAAGTCTCCAAATATTCTTTTTCATTATTCTTTACAGTGCATGCAAAAATCCTTTGAGCTTGAATAAGTGTATTGACATTTCCATTTGTTGTACCATAAAGATGTGCCCACTTTTGATTATCTAATCTAAGTCTTGTGGGAAAAAATAGAACAGCAATGATTGTTGTTGCACGGGGCAGTGCATGCCTTTCTGTCCATGGTGCAGCTTCAACACTCAAAGCTCTGACTCACAATACTTTTAAGAAACCTTAGTAATTCGCTAAGTGTTTATTGGCCAGGAGAACAAATGTAAGCATGATAGAAAAGCATAATGTATTTCCTGCTGTTTCTGCAGACCAAGATTTGTTTTCCAAGTTTTGAGAACAGTAAACCAGGTTGTACTGACTCAGGAAGAGTTCGTTTTTTGTCATCATTTCATTAAACTGTCCATGATGAGATGTGAACTGGCGTGTTTTATCTGCGAGTTTCTGGCACTCCACCAACTTCCCATAAAACTGAATAAAAGTGCTTTTCAGAGTTGGCTAATTTAAATAATGCTTCATTAATCGTCTTAGTTGGATCATGTGGAGGCCTGCCTCACTGCGCCTGCATTTGGACATTTTGTTTAATTAAAATCTTCTTGTAAAGTGGCACCAGTAAACTGGAGTATTTGTGTTTCTATGTGACTTAAGAAAATCTCATTTGTGTAACTTTATAGCACATTTAACCCAGTCTTGGGTGATAGATTCATCAGGCATAACATAATGACCAATATGGGTATCCTGACATGTGCTGCTACGAAGCGCCATGCATACACATTTCTCAGAAAGAGCTTTAGCTTCTGCAACGGTTTCAGTCTGTTGGTGCAAACCACGAGCGCGTCAGCATGTCATGACTTGTGCAAACAGAAACATCTTACAAGCCAAGACAGCCTATGTCCCTGCACTGGTCCATCATTGTTGCTTTGTTGTTCTGCTTCTGATACACACTGACTGACCACAGGCTAGAAATACCAAACAAAATAAAGTTTTGGAGATGCGATGATCCAGTCATCCTGCAGTCACACTTTGTCCCTTGTCACAACCAGCTCATCGTTATTCTTTCCATTGTTTTCTGCTTCTACCACAACACCTTTGAGACACTTGCTGTCACATAAAGTTCCCTCACAAACAGTTGTCAGAATGAAGAGATAATCTCAAAGAAAAAAAATCCTCCATTTTGTTTTAAACATGTAAATATTCCCTTCAAATGAATGTTTTCTGTGAAACTCTTGTCAGTTAGTTTTTAAGTTTTTAAGGGTTTTGATTTGGAGCTTTTAGTACTACTTTAGCTGCAGTTATTTAAATAATAATTAAAAAAAGGACAGATATGCACACTTCAGTTTTAATCTGTTGGAGATTTTGCGACTGCATGAATGAATTAGAGAAATTATTCCAGGCTGAATTGTCTGCAAACAAATGGAAAGGTCACATTTTATTAATGCAGTGCGATGTCGCTTCTGAGTAATGAGATCGCGTTATGCAAGTGAACACTCAGACTTTGGGCAGTGAGTGGTTCTGACTTTATGACCAGACAATTATAGCCAACTCCACCACTAAAGTGTACTCAGCTGTATAAACATAATGTCACTCATGTCACTCTCAATAGTTTAGAGGGTCATATGTCACACAAATTGGGTAGTTGAGGATATTCCATGTGATGATACAAAGGCAATTCAACTGTGTCTGTGACAAGTGTGAATATTTAT